AGAGGTACAGTCAGAAGAGTTGGAGGAATAAGTCTATTCAGATAATCATCTAAATTCTACAGTCTATCAATTGTTGAATGAAGACAAGCCTCATACCATAGTGTTAGTTCAGTAGTCAGTTGACTTGTGTGTGCTAGTGGTCACAACCTCTGCAGAGCCCAGGATCTCAGGGAAATATTTATACCATCACTGCACAGGCAAGGAGCCAAGACACATCCACAGGTAGAGGACGTCCATGGGCACAGAGCTCAGGCAACCGAGGAGAATGTGACAAAGCAAGAGCTGAATGCAGAGCTCCTCTTCTCAGCTCCTTTTCTCCCCTCGTGAGCTGTAGGCTTCACACCAGGCTGAAGAAGATCCTTCAAAGTGGAAAAAAAAAAAAAAAAGAAAGGAAAAATCAGAGCTTTATGCAGCCACGAGTGGCATGGGAAGGGTGAGTAAGGAATGACTGTGTAATGATTCATCCATTATATGGGCTTTCTGAACAGACAAGAGAAGATATTTCTAACAGAACAAGTTGAAGCTGTATAACTCCTTACTGCAGAAAATAACAGCAGCTAAATGCTAACATGGTCTGAAGAAGAGACTAGACAAATTAGTGAAACCAAAAGCTATTGTGTGCTGTTAAAACAAAATATTTCTTTGGGGTCAGGAACTTGCTAATAAATTGTCAGGAAGTCAGAAAGTAATCTGGGGAAGTACCTCAAAATTGTTTTATCTATTTTCATCCCATCCCTGAGGAACAGCTTTTGGTTGCTCTTGGAGATGTGATGCTGGGCTCAACAGATTTTTGGACTGACTTGGACTGACTTGGACTCCTTATATTCATAGGAGCTGGCAGAGAAATTAGAGAGGGAAAGAGGGAACCAGGAAAACTAGACAACTAGAAAACTGTTTTGTCTTTTTTTTTCTGCAAAATGTTCCAGTCAAAATGGGTGCCAATTCACAAAGTAAAATACTTCCACATTATTTCTCCATGAAAGCCAGAACGAGAAACCACCCCAAAGAGTCAAACCAGTAGCATCGTAGGTCTCCATGGTATGAACATGGCAAAAAGATCATTGTGGATCAGTCAGAAGACAAGACTGCAACAAAAAACTTCAAAATCTCCCATGGAGTTCCTGGAAGATAAGACTTAAAAACGCATACCACATTTTTGGTCATGATTTCCAGAGCCAGAAGAGCCTCAGTGAATCCCAGTCTCCCAGTGCCAGTACCTCTGGGAGAAGTGGTGGCACAGCTAAGGCTCCTTCTGGCCACAGGATCTGCCTGCTGGGCAGTGAGCCACAGGAAGCCTCAGGCTGCCTCTGCAGAAGGATTTGGCTGCAAACCTGCCAGTGCTGCAGAGAGTAACTGAAAAACCATAAAGGCCAGGCATGTTTGGCATGGGAAGATGTATGTTCTGTGGGAACTGCATTGATGCAGGACCTGTGGAACTGCTAGTCAGCCCAGCTCCCTGTTCTGAAGGGGCAGAAGCCGAGTCAGAAATGGCCGTGCCATTTTCCTAAGGGAATTCAAAAGAATTCAGAATTTGTTTCTGGTTTATTACTCTGTTCCCTACTCACAACGACAGCTCAGCCATTTGTAATTCATCTTTCACTAGTGACCAATCCTTTCCACAACTTCGTACCCAGAAACCTTCATGTAAATTTTCCTCTCTTCCTCGGTTTCTTTTAAACCCCAGTGACTAATCTGCTGTCTCTTCTCCCGTCTCCTGGCTCTGGGTTGTTAGCCTGGCTCTTGTTAGCTGCCTGGTTGTTTCCCTTTGCCACACTCAGAGCACAGCTGCACACTCCCCCTCTCAGCTCAGGAAGAAATCCGGCAGTGCAGCCCCTGGAGAGCACAGCCTGTCTCCTCCTTAACAAGCTGAAGCAACTTCTGCAAATGACAGACTCCCTGGGCCGGCAGCTGAGTTCTCCGAGACAGATTTGGGACTCAGAGCGTACAGACATAATAATTACCAAAAATGCATCACCCCTCCACCCCAGTTAGTGCACCCCTCACCATCAGGCATCGTCTCTCTGCCACTCCTGGCGTTCTGGGTGCAAAAACCTCGCTTTCTGTCATCTTCTCTCCACGCACTGCAATCTTTCTCTCTGAAATTGTAAATGATAACACCTGCAGGGGCTCTTGTTTGTTCATTCCCCGTATCTCTGCCTGCTCCCTGTGTGAGATATTACGCCCACGCGGAGGTATGAAATATGCTGCAGCTTGTTGGGAAACTTCTGTATGAAAGATGCAGGGAGTATAAATAATGGTGCTGCTCTGACATTCTTCATCTTGTGTCTGACAGAACGTGTTCAGCAAACTACAGGAACACGCAGAGGCTGATGGAGAAGTCATTCATGCCTTATCACTGCAGCTGAAAACAAACGAGCAGGACTGCTCTGGACATCCCATTTTCCTTTCAGCATCAGCACGCATTTATTTTTCGAGTCATACTATATTCATATTTACTTTAATGATTCATAAATGTCCCAGGTTCCAGAAGCTTCTAATTAACTCATCTGTTTAGTGTTGTTAACACGCTTAGGGAGTGATTTATTGTACAATACCAGATCACACCAGCGTATAAATCCAGCCAATTGAATTGGCAGACAGTCCAGGTAAATATCTTCTGCTGCTGCTAGATGAGGCTTTGTCCTAAATACAGTATTAATGCTCTGCAGACTGTGGCTGAAGCATTTTCTTCTATTACTGTGCACATGCAGCCTACACTGTACTCAGCAACACCGGTTATCTCCCTCTTAAAAAAAAGATTTAGTGAGGTATTACATAGGGTGGAGGTTATATAGTAACCCTGTCTGAGAAAAGAGCAAATCAATAAGCCCAAAGAAGTTTTCTCTCAAGCTCCTTTTCATTTACCTCTGGCTTTCTGCGGCTTTGAAAACAAAGCTATTCTCTCTGACATACTGCAGCAAAATGATCCTTTATTAGAAAAGTCACTCTGGGGACACTCATTCTGGAGATATGGTCAGACCACCATTTATTACTCTGATAAACAAGGGAGTGGGCCTGGCCACCATGGCTTGGGGCAGAACGTGCAGCTCGAGCTCTTGTAACAGATGGAAGCAGCCCAACAGATACCTCCACAGTGGTGGTCTACACTGCGCCTGGGGATGCTCCCAGTGATCTGCACCCTCTAACATCATTAGAAGGACTCCAGCACCGTGTGCAGTTGGACCAGTGAGCTCCATCAGACCACTGCTAGGGCCACTGCCATCCCCTGGGGCAGCTCATGCACCAGCTCAGACCATGAGGACCAGCAGGGCTGGGTGCTACAGGCTAGCTTGAGCATTACTGCATTAAGAATATAAACAAGCCTTTCAGTTTGGGCCTGGTGGACCTGTTTTACTTGGAAACATTTTTTTTTTTTAATCAAATTTCAAAATGTTGTGATTGCCTCTGCTTGCTGCCTGGGCAGGAGCCATCCTCCAGAACTGAGAGGTGTGTTATTTACCTTCCCGGTGGAGAGCTGCAGACAAATTTTATAGCTTTTCTCCTAAGACCTCATTCCCTTCTCATTCCCAACGGCAGTATCATGACTCAGTCTGTGTTAACAAAACACTAAGGAAACACAGGCAAATGTTTTTTTTAACTTCTTTAAGTAGGAGTCATTAGAGGACTGTTAAAGTATTATTTCTGCAGTAATTATGTTAATTTTTTTTTGTCTGCCTATAGTCTTGTATTTAAGTTTTGTGGTCCAACTGAACTGAAAGGCACTATTGTAAGAAATTGTGGTGCATTTTCTGCCTATTTTTTAAAACAATATTTACAGTAAAGCTATTATTTTTAATTATTTTTACTCAGAGTGGGATTTGGAAGTTGAACCATCTCTGATGTCAGCTCCAAATTCTACTTTCAGCGATGCTTTCTGGAACTAGGTTTGGGAGGGGAAAGAAATACAAGCAACACTAAAGGAGGAATGTGAAACAAACTACATTGTGCCCAAACAAGTGAAGGAAGGAACGGGACAACTTGCAAAAGGTGATACATGAAGAAAACAAGCTGCACAAAGGAGTTCCTGTGACTTAGTAGATTTCTCCTCGGCACTCACTATTAGTGATCACTGGAGGAACAATAACACAGTGAATGTGACTATTTCTAATTTTTAATTGCAACTTTCATCTTGAGTACAGTAACCTTCCTTGCTGTTTCAGTTTGTAGCCAGTATTGAGGTGCACGCAGCCTCTCATTTTGAACAATAAAAGATCTGGTGCATCCTTAACACTGTGCTGTAAGCAGAGCACACTGGTGTACCCCTCGTGCATAGGCTTTAGGGAAACCTGCAACTCCCTTGCCCAGGCTGATTTCTTAACCTCCATGAAACAACTGCCCCTGCAATTTGAAAAGGCAACAGGAAGAATCATATGTTACAGCTACATAGAGTTATGTAAGTACTTTACATATTTAAGAATCTGTGCAGCAGTACAGGAGTCTCCTCATCATCAATCAGTGGGCTATCTCTCAGGACTCCTCCACAGCAGTGCTAAGCTGTGATGGCATTAAGTGCAAGCTGGAGGATCACTTCAGCATTTTTAATTTGTACTCTTCTGATTTAAAATGGGAGAATAAAATAGAACTAATGATGAGACTGTAATAGGTCAGGTATAACAATGAAATCACATGCCCTACAAGATCTCCATAGTAAACATTGTGAACAGACATATCAGTTCCTATGGAGTTTATAAAGCTTATAATTCAGGCTGGCAGTGATTAGCTGAGGTCACCCAGTCATTCTGCAAGTTAACTTTTGTAAAAAAGCAGCCCTGCAAACAACACAAGTGAACAGCATACCAAAAACCCACACAAAGCCCAAGAAACATGTCTAAAAATTGCTAATGATCACGTGAGCACTCCGGCAGGAATCAAGATGCTGTAGAGAATAATGGAACTTGAGGGCTCCTAAATATTTTGTTGCATACCCGATTTCTAAACAACAGAATAAATGAAGACAATAACCTGTGAATGTTGAAAATGCAATAATAAGCAGTACCACCTCATAAAAATAAGTTTTAATATAAACAAGTTAATTTCAGTTATTGCAAATTAATCCCGCTCTGTGCAGAGATCAACCAGTGTCCTGCATTGTTCACAAAGATGGGTTTATTCTTTCTCATTCTTCTGCACTGACAGCACAGTTTCTGTTTTAACCCTAATTCGCTTTCTTCTTCTTTTCTTCTTTTCGGCAGGTTTCTGGCTCTCCTGTGTCTTCTTCTTCTTCAGACAGCTGAGAGGATTGGGGCCACCTGCCTTTTTACGTTTTCTTCTCTTTTCACCTTCTTGCTTTGCTAGTCCTTCTTTTTCTTTAAGTTGTACAATGCTTTGTTTCTGGTGCTCTGGAACAAGCTGACTGGTCTGCAAGGTTTGAACAAATGCCAAAGACTTAGGAGAAGGTTTGTCTAGCACCATAGTGTTCTGAATAATAAAGAGGAGAGGAATGCCAGCCTTCTTTTTCACTTTGTTTGCTAAATCCTGGTCCTGTAAAATTAAATACTTCAGTCAATATTTTGAGATTAAACAGCATTTGCAATTCAAAAGCACCTACTTTTAATACAAAACTATAAAGATAAATTACATTATGAAAAAGATAAGAAACTTAATCTACTAGATATACCTGGCAGGCTCTTTCAGAACAATTTACATTAAAATTTTTCTCCCTCTGATTAGCTGTACTTTGTTGGAAAATATGTTGTTTCCTTTTTTCCATGCTTGTGTAAGCCTACATGGATTTTTTTGAGAAGTGACATTTTATTTCACTCCATAACAAGATATTTAAAACTCTTTGTATCATAATAAGTAGAATAATTCTACTGTAGGCCACTGAATATATTGCATATGTTACACCTACAGTCCCAAGAGTAGACCCAAGGAAAAAAGAACCTTGCTTATCTTATTTGTACACAAGTTCTATATTCCTTAGATATTAAAAAAAACAATAATAAATCATTTAGAACTGCACATCTATGGTGCTTTAATTCTAAATTCACTTATCAGACTACCATGCACAGCAGTATGGGACAGGAGATGCACACGGAAGCAATTTGCAAGCTGACATTCATTACTTTTTTTCTTACATGTTACTAGGTAGTTGGTATATTTTCTCCATTTTCTGCTATACTAAGCAACGTGCCTCTTTGGTAAAACAAACAGGTTGTTCAAACAATACATAAGATTCCTATTTTATAATTAGCAATTACATTTTAGAGTGAGGGAAGCTTTACAAGACTAATTTCCACAAACTATACAATCTCATAACCAAAATTTCAATGCCCTTACATATCAAAGGATCACACCAATTGAAATGCAGTTGCATCTCCCATGAGCATTTTTACCTGAGTAGCCACAAAGAAGTGATGAGGGTTGCCTTCCTCAACCATGGAAAGTAAACAGGCCGAGCCGCTCACAGGATCCTTGTGGTGAGAACAGCTTCGAACTTGAAAACTTTGGGCAATTAATTTTGCCCCATACAGTGCTTTGCCCAGTGATTCCAATTCTTTCAGAATGCATCTAAAACCCAAAACAGTGGTTTCTGAACAACGAAATAACCACGTTTTTTTACAATAGCAAACGGTTGATGGTATGAATGATCACGTGTGAGTTAATGGGGAATGAATAATGCCACTGGTTCAGGCTCTGTGAGCTATAAATGGCACCCAGTAATCTGAGTGGAGTAACCAACCTGAATGCTTCAGCGACACTTCCTTGGTTCCAAACAAGATTAACCACTAACAACAGTAAGTTACATTAAATGGATTTTAAAACGTTTCTTATCAATGGCACTGATAAGTCTTTACTTTTATGCACATGAACTGCTACTTAACAAATAAAATTACTTGAAATAGCATAAATTGATTAAACACTACATGGAAGTTAAACTCTGCATTAGTATCCATCACCTTGCTTTAGGCTTATGTTAGAAGCCAAATGACTCAAGCAAAAGGAGATTCTCCAAATGATTAAAAATCTGGGATTTTAAGTCTCTACAACCTCCCAACTAGACAACAAAACACAAAGCTGAAGTCCTTCTCCTAGCACAGCTGACACGGGCAGGCACAGGATGGTGTAGCAGTGCACAGTGAAGCTATCTCAGATCATAACTGGGTGAAACTCAGGAGAGAGCAGGTGATGAAACACTACTACATGTGGGTATTCCTACTACATGCAGTAGGAATGTACAGCCTGATCTTCATGGCCTTTTCCAATCTGAGCAATTTTAGGATTCTATAAATGGCCTCAAGCTGCATCAGGGGAGGTTTAAGTTGGATGACAGGAAAAACTTTACAGAAAGGGTTGTTAAGCACTGGAATAGGCTCCCTAGGGAAGTGGTTGCACTGACATCCCAGGATGTTTAAAAACCATTTGCACGAGGTGCTCAGGAACATGATTCAGCAGAGGGTTGTTAGTGTTAGGGTGGTGTGGTTAGCTCATGGTTGCACTCAGTGACCTTTAAGGTCTTCTCCAACCTGAGTGATTCTGTGATTCTATGATTCTTGAAACACAGCTTCAAGGGTATGGTACTGCAGCAATTCATCACAATTGTGTGTAACAAAGTACTCTGCATCTTTTACTTACTTTACTGTGATCTGAGAAGTAACTGTAAGATGTTAAACAAAACTATTTTTCTTTCTAGATAATAAAGTTTAGCCTTTAGGGAGAGTCTTTATGGAGATTTGAACCTGTTCTTTTTATTTTGTTCTTTTTCTCCTGACCAGAGAGCAAGGCTATTTCCTTGGGAAAGCTCTGGCCATGCCACAAAGGTGATTCCTCACCAACTCAGTGTGCTGACAGCAGAAAAAATGAACCTGTTCAGCCTCTCTAAGTCCGAACAGGTAAAAAAGATCCACTGATATCGATTACAGAAGGGAAAAAAAAAGTGACATTTAAACATGACTGGAATACAGTAACTCCCAAACCTTCTAAAGCTAAGGGCATGACTTGACAGCTTCTTCTGCTTAGAAGCATGGGTCAGTTCTGCAGTGGAATCGTGTTTAATTTTTATCCAACTGTATAAATCTTCCTGATACTTTCAATACTCGCCTCCATGGCGGGCAGCTTCAGGCCTCCATCACTTGATGGAACAGCACAATACACACATGCCACCTCCAGAAAAGCAGCTAGTTATGAACGAAGCTCGCTTCCTAACGGAAGCTCACCGCAGCCCGGTGCCTGAACACCCCGCCCCACAGCCATGGACCCCCGCCCGGCTCCAACCCCACCTCCCCTCCAGCCACGAGGAGGTGCCGAGCAGGCGCCAGACGACCTAAGCACGCGCAGTGCGGCCCCCGGACGCGCAGTACCGGGTGGTGCAGAGCTGCGTGGCGCCGCCCAGATACCCGGGCAGCTGCTCGCGGATCTGGATCTTGTTGCGGAGCGCGGCGTGGCAGAACGTGCCGTCCACCAGCACCTGGAAGGGCTCGCGGAACTGGAAGTTGTGCCTGTAGAAGCCCATGTTCTTCTTGGCGTGCTTCTGCCGCGTGATCTTCATGGCGGCGCCGCCGGAAGCCGGGCGGAGGGGCGGGGCGTGCCGTGCCGGGCTCCCGCCCTGAGCTGCCGGGGTTCTGAGGAACGCTTCTTTTTTTTTCCCTTTTTTTCCTTTTTATTTATTTATTTATTTATTTATTTATTTATTTATTTATTTTCCTTCTTTTTTTTTTTTTCTTTTTCTTTTCCTTTTTCGTTTCCCCTTTCCTCTTTCATTTGCAGTCCCAAAGACTTAAACATTAGTGTGGCACAGTCATGCGTTGCTGTACTTTTCTCATGCAGAATTATTCGGTGCCCACTGACAATGTTAGGCTACAGTAGGTATATCTATGTTTGAAATGATTTTTATTCGTGGCAAATAGAGAACTTAATTTCATTGTAGTGTGCAGAAGCAATAATTCAGACATTGCACAGACTGATTCTGAGCAGACAATGAGTGGCACTGAGAAAACTGAACTTCATTCCTGTATTTTGGGCAGGCAAAAGGGATGGAGTGTCTCAGCACCATAAAAATAATCGGACAGAATGGATCACAGAACCACAGAATGGCCTGGGTTGGAAGGGACCACAAAGATCATGAATCTCTAAGCCCCCCCGCCACATGCAGGGCCACCAACGTCCCCATTTAATACCAGACCAGGCTGCCCAGAGCCCCATCCAACCTGGCCTTGGTTACACCTCCAGGGACGGGGCATCCACAACCTTTCTGGGCAGCCTGTTCCAGCACCTCACCACTCTCTCTGTAAAGAACTTAATGATAAATAGAGACATCTGGTTCTGCACAGGTATGGCAGGAGACATCTTAATGCCAGGGACAACTGAATTGCAAAGAAGACGTGTTAGCTCTGTGTAAAAAGGTTGTTCATAGAATCATAAAATCACTAAGACTGGAAAAGACCTCTATGATCACCAGTCCAACTGTCTTCCTATCCCCATCATGCCCATTAAACTATGTCCCTCAGTGCCACATCTACATAGTTCTTAAGTATCTCCATGGATGGTCACTCCACCACCTCCCTGGGCAGCCTGTCGCACTACTTCTGTGAATAATTTGTTTCTAATAGCCAAGCTGAACCTCCCCTGGCACAACTTGAGGTCGTTACCCATTCATTACCACCTGCAACCTGGTGGGTTTTTTTGTTAGGAGTGGGCATGGGGAGCATCTGCCTCCAGAAAGAAGGGTTCCTTAGAGTTAAAAGAAACTGAAAAATAATGCAACTAATTACTAATCTTGAGTTCTAAAGCTTAAATGGGAGAAGTGTTTACAGGATGAAAAGTGTGAAGAGCAGGTGATTGAGAGTAAGATATGCGTTATGGCTGTGCTGCTGGCAGTATTTTGCTGTCATTATGTCCTTTCCAGCAGCATTCAGGGAGCAGTTGCATGTGTTCATGAGTACCCTGGGCATACATGGGCACATGCCTTATGCTATGGGCTAAATTATATGCTGAATTTGTTGTTCTTTATTAAGTTTGATTCATGTTGCTGACCTATTCTCATACTGGCTTGGTATCCCAATTCCTCTAATTACATGGTCTCGTAATTTAAAAAATCAGATACACTCAATAAGACTCCAGAGCAAAACCTTATTTGATCAGGGTTTATTTATTTTTGAAGCTTGCTTTTTTTTTTTTTTTTTTTTTTAAACCAAGTTAACTGCCAAAGACAGGCAGTTATTCCTTATTAAGAACACTTTACCAGAACATTGCACACCAGAGGTATCAGCTAGAATGCCGAATCTGCAATGATAACAGCTGCTATTACAAAATGGAGATAAAAAGAAAAGCAAGTTAATGAGTTTGAACTAGTCATCACTTTGAACTAAACACAAAGTAAGATGTAATCCAAAGTTGGGTGTTAATACCACTGTAATGAGGTATTTCCCCCCTACTCAACTGGTAAATAACATGATCACAGACAAGTTGTAACGCAGTTGGTATGGCGAAATGCGTTCAGAAGACAAACAGGTGAAACTCGAAACTGACTTCTTCATTTTGCAGAAAACAGCATGAATGGTGTCACTGAATCACAGAATCATTAAGGCAGGAAAAGATTCTAGGACCATCTGATTTGACCGTCAATCCATCCCCACCATGCCCACTAAGCCATGTCCCTCCGTGACACATCTTCACCTTTTCTGAACACCTCCAAGGCCCGTGCCAATGCCTCACCACTCTATCTAGGAATGTTTTTCTAATAGCCAACCTGAACCTCCCCTGGCCCTACTCCATCTTATGATAGACTACTTGCAATACCGTTCAGTAAATTGTATTTCTCTTCTGAGTAATTCCTATAGGATATAATTTTAATGTATTTTAAATGTTAAAAGTAGTATCTGTAAGAACATCAACTTAGTACATTTTTTCTTCAACATTTTGTTTGATATTTTGATAGTATTTTGTATAAAATAAAATCCATCATTTTCCTTTCAAACTCAGTTATTTTATTATGTCCCTGAAACGTGTAGAAGGGATATTTTAATAAGAAACTTTAGGATCTTATGTGAGCTGCTGAATGCAGTGGTCTCTGACAGCTAGAGATTGTTCTTTCTTGGCTGCTGAAGTGTACATCCATCGGATATCCATGTGTGCTGGCACAGGCACCATGCATATAACACTACCAGAAATCATATGTAATTTAAGTACAGCAAAGTTCTGTACCCCCTTTCTAGCTGATCACTACTGAAATTCACAGTTCACACTCACATTCAGAGATCCGTCAAAAAATGGCATGGCCTTCCAGTCCATCTGATAATTATATGTGGGCCTCAGGTTACATGTTAATTATATGTGGACCTGTGCAGGTCCGAGGTCTCTGCCTTCTCATTGCCTAGTTCACCTTCAACCTTGCTCCTGGATTACACATACACAAGATTTAATTAATGTAGGACAGCAAATACACCCATTGCTCTCTAACACACTCATATGTCCCCGTCTCTCTGTTTGCTGGCTGTATCTTCTAGCCTTGTGAACTCTAGCTGAGGCACGCAGCTTTCATGTGCAGCACCTGCTTATTCCTATATCCACTCTGATCCATATGAATGTCAAAATTTAGGCTGGTGCTCTGCAAGGTGGGTCTGCGCAGTCCCTTTAAAGGCCCACCAATTTGTAGCTGAAGAGTTCTGTTCTTCACTCTTGTGTTTGTTACCACCTGCTCAACTGGTAATTTCTGTGCGTCTGCCTGTGTGTAACATTTTATTTTATTTTATTTTATTTTATTTTATTTTATTTTATTTTATTTTATTTTATTTTATTTTATTT